GTAAATCTAAGAAAGTATTAATTACTATAATTTATAACTGATTGTTTTATTAGTTAGAATTAGCTATTAGCTATATATACTCGTACTACTTAAATTTTATAACTTCATTGAAACATCTATATGTATACATTTTTTTATATTTATGAAAGAAATTTTATTTTTCAGAAATATACCATGCGAGTAAGTTTTGTACTACTTATCTTCCGTTTAATTTTATAATGTACTTACTCTTTTCTTCCTTTGAAATATACGCAATTTAGAAAGCGATCTAGGTCGGATGATTTGCATCTAGTACTTAAGTTAGTGAGCTAACTGGTTTCAAAACTTAGGTTATCAAGTTTAATAGAAATGGTGCTTAAGAAAAAAATCAATTTTATTTTTTGAATAGACATATTTTAAATGTATTCAAACCCGCAGCCTCTTTATGTCACAACAGTGTGTACGCTATTTATTTGTTATACATTAGAAATTCAAAATAGGCAAATCCTGGCGTTAAATATTTTAAATTTGACGTTTAGGAATAATTTTGGGCACTCCATGTTTTGTACGCTGAAAAAACCCAATATAAAGAGACCTAAGAAGTAAAACTACAAACCTCGACTTTCTCGTCTTCGGAGTTGCGAAATAGATGCGCCAAAGGGCCCGCGGCCGGTCGTGGTGCCCTTCACTGAATTAGTTTTTGCTTTGGGTTATTTATTGGGTAACCATTTGATTGATTTTGATGTAAATTGTCTTTGGGTATCCCATTAAATATCCTAAGCATACTATACAGACTACAATGATATATACCTACTATACCTATATACTTCATGATCCATAACTGCCTCGGCGGTGTAGTGGCTAGCATGTACGGCTGCACACCCGGAGGTCCTGGATTCGAGTCCCGGGTCGGGCCAAGTTTAGTTATTGAGTCTTTCTGTATACAACAGCCCGGAGTTGAGAAGTTGGTGGTGTTTCACCCCTGTGCCTCGGAGAGCATGTAAAGCCGTCGGTCCTGCGCCTTAACTCTCATTGGTCGTGTCGAGCAGTCGTCCCACCGGAGTATGAGAGTGACAAGAATAGAGAGTGCACATTGTGTCTGCGCGTACACTTGTGCACTATAATATCTCCTGCGCAGTTGGCTAGTCTCTATGCGATTGGCCGCCGTGGCCGAAACCAGTCAGGAGAATATCATCATATATACTTTATGATCCATAAACTATATAAAAAATCAAGTTGCTGTGTTAAGGAAAAAGAGCATACTTACTTGTATAATATCAAAAAGCGAGAATCAGCATTAATAGTAAATTAGCCCTGAAATAAAACCTCAAAGAAAAGAGTGCTAGATATCTTTTTAAAAAGAAATACAATAGTTTTCTTATCCTATTAACACCTCCAGGTGAATTTTTAAGAAATTAATTAAATTTCTAAGAAATCTATTGTTAACCGTAACGCCGGCGTGTACGCGGTCGTGGAGCGAATATCATATGTAGAATGTTCTTTGGAATCCTCTCTATTATCTCAGCGATTAAAAAAAGATGCAGTATGTTATTCTATCATTATAGTTTTTTTTGAAAAATATTTAAGGCACCACTTTAAATCTGTTGCTGGTTGGTTGGTGACATTTAAGGTTTAGTATAGATTTATCAGAGATACAATATTTTCCCGCAGTAAAAAGTATCCTACATGTTGACCCGGATAATCAGCTATCATCATATCAAATTTCATCAAAATATATATAATATAATATAAACATTCAGTGGTTTTCTTGTGATGCGGTCACAGACAGACAGAAAGACAAACAGACAGACAAAAACTCTAAAAACTATAGATTTAGCCTCTGTATCGATAATAATGTACTCGTATATTTCAATAAGATTTTTCAAAAAAAATATTTAATGTAGAGATTCGGCTTAATTACAATTTCATTATATGTAAATAAATTTAAGAGTTTTGGTGCAAATGGCTTTTAGTATATGAATGTCAATATGATTATTAAAAGTTTCGCACATACCATTACTGCCTCATGCTCTGCGGTAAACCTTAATTCCGTTTAGAGCTTTAAAGTACCGTTACACCACTAAAGAGCTGTTGTGAATAAATACTTAAGCTGTTTAAATTACGTATTCACTTTATTGGTGAGAAGGCGTCGGAATAATTATATGCACTGAAATTTATCAATTATATCTGCTATAAGCATTTTTAGGAGAAATTTGGTGTAATATTTTTTGTTTTTATAGCTCGTAAGGAAAATAGCATGGAAACTGTAAAAATGCATTCTTATAATAATTGTTAAGAAATTATCTTTGTTTTTGGCTCCCAAAGTTTCGAATGCTATACAGCGATCATAGGAAGGATACCGTCAAAAATCTTTTAAATTATTTAAAATATCAAATATTCGCGTAAATCTAAAAAAAATGTGATACTTTTTATGTCTATGATAAATGTTCAAAAAAGATGTAAGCAGTATTATGAGAAAAATCACAAGAAACAGCTGCTGATTTTGTTGTTGAAAAACCATTTCTTGCATATAATTTTAATTCATTCTTGTTATACATATAGATAATAATAAAAAAATTTTGAACGATCACTTAACGCAGTTATTAAAGTATTTTTTGACCGTTTTCATTATTAGTCTCCTTTCTTATTTCCTTATATTTTTGGAACTTTAAGGCTGGCTATTTATTATTTCTATACACATTTGACCCTAATGTATTATTTGACCCTCCACAATCACTGTGCTATTAGAACTAGAGTACTGCTATTATAGACATATTTGTTATGTATAATCTATTTGATTCTATCAGTAATAATGCCCGTGAAGTAACAAATTACGCCAGAGATGGTAAATATGGGAATTGATAAAGCTCTATGTTTAAGCGCTCTTTGTGAGAAAACTTTACATCATCGATATTGCACTACATTTTGTTATACGTTATTGCGTGTTTAATTTTACGTGATATTTTATTTTAACTTGAATTTACTTGAAATGGAGGCCCACACCCTATCAAGGTGTTCCTATAATAATACATTAATAATACTCATAAGTTTTACTAACACTAGAATTATACATATATATTGTAAATACACATACATATATATTGTAAATAGTTTATAAGGTTTATAGGAAATAAAAAGGCTTTATTATTATTACTATTACTTGAAATTTAGCTTTTTAAAGATTTTAATTTTAGCCATCTTTTGTTTTCTCTACACTTTGAAATAAAATACTGTAATCCTAATAATTTGGTTAAAAATTAGGCACCTATCTAAATAAATATTATCTAAAAACTACTTTACGTTCTTGGTGTCGTTGTAATACCTAGAATAAACAAATCTCGCAGTGTTTTTAAAGTTCTATAGAGTTAAAAATTAATTTATTGTAGTACGATTATTACTTGGCTGGCTGTGCTTTATTTTAGTTACAGACATATTTCATATTTTGTTGTCTTTATAAAAACAAAACTTACAGGCTTAGATCTAATATAATAACAAATGTGTACATTTTCACAAACTTTTTGGTCTCTAACCGCGAACAAAGAGTCATTATAGTAGGTAATCTGTAACTCAAGTGCGTGAACTGACCCAAATGTTCCAACGAACATTATTGTATGAAACAGTATGAAATTATGTTTGAACTACGCTTTTGGTTCTAATAACTTCCGAAAATCTACTGATGAGGTCACTTCGGTCAAATATATGTCACTAATGTATAGTTTAAGGCAGTGGTAGCCCAGTGGTAGCGCGCTCGCTAGGGAAACCGAGTGATGCGGGCTCAAATCCCGGGTCTCGCACCTCTGATATTTTCATGTGCGAATCGTTTCTAACATGATTACCACTTGTCTTACAGTGAAGGAAAATATCGTGAGGAAACCTGCATGTTTGAGAGAACCTAGCAAGTTTTCAAAAGACATGTGAAGTCCACCAACCCGCACTTGGCCAGCGTGGTGGACTATGGCCTGATTCCCCTCGTACTGAAGGGAGGCCCTTGCCCAGCAGTGGGACGTTATAAAAAAAGGGCTGAATACAATGTATAGTTTTAAATTCTTTTTAATTAACATTAGTATAATAAATTAAGTTTTTATATCCTTGTTAAAATTATATTAACGCTTAAGTGTATTTGTTGATTAATTGGTTTGTCTTCTATCACGTATATACATTATCATCATCATTATCACGTATGTGTATTAACGTGTTTTCTTGCATAGAGAGCTCCTTAATTTCCAAGTCGGTTAACTCCGTGTTAGCGATTTTTCAGGGGACATTAAAAGTAATTATTTCAATAATATTATTTCGAAAAAAAAGGAATACCCTATTTTTAGGTAATAATCTATACTAATATTATAAACGTGAAAGTGTGTTTGTTTGTCCTTCTTTCACGTAAAAACGATAGTTGGAGGGCTGGCAAGTAACATAGGTTATTATTTACAGCGGGAGATTATCTAATTCCCAGGGGAAAACTCGTTATAATACAATCCAAGAAAATATTCATGATCAGAATTATTTGAAACTTGGTATTAATGCTCTTCAAAAAAATTAACGTGTTTTAGCATTTTTCGAAATTTATTCTATAAAGGGGTAAAATAGGGGATGAAAGTTTGTATGAAACTACCTTCTTAGATATTTTTTTGTAGTTTTAGCGCGATCGAAGCCGCAGGTTCTGGTAGTATTTTATATAACGTTAAAGTAGTATTTTTATTATTATTGAAATAATAAGGTTTTAATAACCCTGAAAAAAAAACATTTTTAGACGATTTTATACCCAAAAATTAATAGAGCTATGGGGGTACGACCCGCTACGTAAATAAATAATATTTTTGACTACATTTGCATTAAAGTTGTCGGTAACTAGAATTTTTGTATTGAATATACGGAACCCTAAAAATAACTATTTATATAATTGTTTTGCTTAAAATTATATATATTTTTTATTTTTTTACAGGGTAAAACTGCGAGTATAAGGCTGCGGCATGGGGTGGATTTGTTGAAGACAATTTGCTTCACGGCAAAATGAAATAAACATGGAATCGCCAGTCAGAATATGCATAGGTAGTTATTTATATTACATTTTTTCCCAAAATATATTTTTTTATTCCAAGTAAAATGTAATATAATTATGCAATATAAAGGAAATCAAGGTCTAATATTTATCTATACTAATATTAAAAAGAGGTAAAGTTTGTGAGTTTGTTACGTTGTAGGGGGTAATCTCTGAATCTACTGAACCGATTTAGATGCAATTTGCTAAGAAGATAGTTTGAGACCCTAGGAAGGACATATAATAGTTTTTACCCCGGAAATCATCCCTTAAGGAGATTAAAAAAAGGGATGAAAGTTTGTATGGGGACAAAATTTAATTTTCAGTATAAATCTCTCAACAATTATTTTAAATAATATTAAATCAATCTAAGATAACATTTTACTTTAAAAACGATTTAAATGTTTATTTCAATTTTCAGGTGCCGCTTTAGTAGTAAACTTGCTACTGATAACCAGCACAGTCACTGCAAATACATTACCGATCGAAACGACAAAAAATCCCATCAGTAAAACTAATGGGACCGCATGGCGGAATAAACCTAAGCTCCCAGACATAGCTTTAAATGAATTACATCCCAAAGACTCAACGAGTGAAGAACATGCTGAGAAAAATGCTAAATACAAAGATAGGGGAAGGGTCAAATTTAACCTTTCAAAGCCGACTCAAAGTACTTTAAAGAGAACACCGGCTTTGTCTGATTTAATCATAGTGACACCAACTCCAGAAGTTAAAAAACCTGCACAGATTATAAGTAGCATGCACAATTATAAGAAAACCAAAATGCCAGCGGTGACTGTTGTTAGCACTATTGAACCTGTCTCGGCGAAGTCTGAAATTGAGAGTGGCGAGTACGAGGATGAAGGAAATGATGAAGATACAGAGTCTTATGAAAAATTTTCATCTACTAAATTTGATGATGGAAGTTTCTTCACAATATCAGGCTTTGATGACGACGATAATTTTAGTGCGAAAAAATATAAGCACGGCTCAGACAAAAAGGTGAAAAATGACTATAGTACGCCGTCTTTTGCTGGTTTCTCTAGCTTGTTTCCTAAAAGTATTTATAGTACACAAGAAGAGTCCTCTTATAACTCAGATACATATTTTGATTTTAGTTCTGATCTCACTACACCTAAAAACGATTTCTTTGACAAAAAGCACCAAGAAATATCCTCTAGTATCTTAAATAATTTAGAAACAAATAAAGCAAAATCCCCGCCGCAGAATATAACGAACATGAATAAAATAGTTACAGAAAATATAGGTTTCAGCAAGCTAAGTAACAATACACCAGCTAATAAATCAAGTGTATTTATTAAAAATACCAAAGAGATTCGTTATTTAGATAGTGATAAGGCTGGTTCTAATAGTAAAGGGTTATCTGATGTACAAGGTACAAGTATTTATTATGAAATGACTGTTTTGTCAACTGAAACGTACAATTTTAAGGACAGTGATTATGATTGCGATAACGATACTCAGACTTCATCTACTACACAAAGTACTCCTATAAAAGAAGAAGTTGCATCGATTAAAGCCAAACTGTCTATTAAAGAAGCTGAGTCCACAAAAAGAAGCATTCAAGACTCTGAACCTAGTGCAGTATCAATATCGCCCATGGCAACGCATTTTTTCCCAAGCAGTACAGCACAATCTGTCCTTAGTTCAGTAAGCCCAGTGCCTATTTCGACACAAAATACAATTTTTTCAACTGATACGTCTCGACTATATTCTAGCAACTATAATAGTAGAAATAGAAATTATTCAAAACGTCTCAATCTATCGGGTGCAAAAGATTCACCAAATAGTGTGTTTCCTACTTTACAAACAGAACAAGCATCATCTTACCAATCTAACCGGCCACAAACCAGGCGATTCCATTATACTACACCAAAAACAAAACCAATATGGATGGCACCTAGGAAGAATGCAACTAAAACTGCACCTAGAGTTCCAACTACTATTTATTTTGAACACTTTGACATCAAAGATAAGCTAATGAGCACAAGTAAACCAAAACTTCCATCAAAAGGAATTTTAACAACACAGTCATCTGATATTGACCCTGTGTTACAAAGTGAAGTAAGCGGCGTGAAAAAAATTGTTCATTCTCAATCTATATCCGATAATACTATTCCATCATTATGGAAAAGAGGTTCGACAAAATTTTCATCTTCTACTCCTGCAACTAGTGAAAAAAATAACACTATAAATGATTTAGAAATCCCTCCAACGATGGCTGCATGGGCGTTGGCTAGTATGCGGAGTCCTCCATCAAACAATGTGATAAATATTACTGCTTCGACACAGAAAAGCGTTGATGAAAACGAGTTACAGAAGGTTGGAGAAGTTTTAGGTAAGTACATAAAATAACTTACAAAATTAGACTGACATGTAAATTTTAGATAAATTGCAAATATTATAACTTATACATTACTTCACCTTGTTTCAGAAAAGAAAGAAACGACCACAAGTTCAACAACAACGACTACAACTACTATCGTAAACGACTTTCTTTCTAAAAATATTACTGAGATCTATCAAAATAAACTGCCATGGAAGCCTATATCGCCCACTATATCAAATGCTGTAATTGATACAAAAGAAAAATCTGATACTGAATCGATATCTGAACGAGTACCAGCAGAAAGTAATATATCGATACAGAGTAGCGCAGAGCCTGTAAGTACCGAGTCAATGAAAGTGTCAATAGCAACAAAAGTAAGTTCTGAATCTGAAACTGAATCTACGTGGATACCGGTCATGGATCTCGATCAGTCTACTCTTGAAAATAATGAATCTTTAAATACTAAAACAATTCCACCGGTTGATGAGACTAAATCAACTGGATTCGAATCTATTACGAAATTACCATCGAGTATAACAACTCCTAGTGACGACACAGCGGCTTCTTCAGAAGTGAAGAATATAACGCAAGAGTTAAAACAATCTATCGCAAATACAACTGAAAATTATGAAATTACAACCATTAGATTTTCTTACGTTCCAACCGAGAAATTAAATGAAGAAACAATATCAACAGATATTACAGACTGGATTCCTGCATCTCCTACACGTACTCGAGAAACCACTGTAGATGATACTCCAGTGACTACTTATAGACCAAAATACATAACGACCACTGAAGAATTAGAGGAAACAACTTTTTTAACTATAGAAAATACTTCACCAATAGAAGTATCATCACAAACTATTAAAAACTCTACACGCAAAGATATATTTACTACAACAGAAGCAATAGCAGAAATCACATCTACAGATACTCCAACTAGTACAGTAATTAGTTCGACAGACAGTACAACTAAAGACTTGAGCTCAACTACAATAGAAATAACTACTACGCCAATTGAAACATCTACAATCATAGTAACTGTTGCTACTGAAATAAACTCTGAAAGAGTTCCAATTACTACTACCTCAGATATACCTGAAACAACTGTTGCATTAAAAGAAAACGATAATGAAATAATAACAAAAGAAAAAGAAATTATTGAAGCTGAAACAACAACAGAAATATATTCAACAACAATGCAAACTAAGGCTGTGCCAACAACAGAAAAGTACGTCCCAGTAATAATGCCTGTATCTACAACAACAGAAGAGACAAGTGAAACAGCTACAGAACTTCCACGTCTAGTAGAGAGTACGACAGAATTTGTGGAGATTACTACAAAATCTGTGAATGATTTGGAAGATCTAACGAGTTTTACAGATGTAACTACAGAGGCGTCTTTGAGGACTCGGGAAGAAGAGGCTGGATCAGGTGCTGCAATCGCGATCGCAGTCAGTACTATTGGTGTCATCGCACTAGTTTTATTGGTTGGACTATTGGTAAGTTTTAACTTTGCAATTGATTTAATCGATATCAATACATTTTATTATTGTAGCAAAATATGCAGTTACCTATTAAACGTGAGCATGAATCTGTAAGATTTAAATAATTAACATTAACATTATTAAAATACAATATTTATATACAATTAGATAAAAGCAAGTAAATATTTATGACATGAAAATAAAAACTAAACACTACTATTCAAAAATAAGTCTTTGAAAGTGAGGTAAAACTATAATCTTTTGAATTTGAACCTTGATTGCATGGATATATAAGAATAATCCATGTGATGTGGGATTTAATTGATCATTTTTAAGTTACCAGTCGCGCTGGTACAATTATCAAAAACAACATTATTTTTTTACATAAAGGTGCTGAGCTCTGCTGCCGCTGTTCTACTTTTCTCTGACCGGTTAATATCTTCAGTCTTCTAGATATTTCCTTGCAAGTAGCTTTCACTGAGGTTCCATCGATGAATATTCGTACAACCTCTCCAAAGTAGTGAGCATAATATCTATAGATAGCTCACGATAAATTACGTTCGCTACTTTGGGTGACGTTGTAGATTGGTCAAAAGCAAGGAAACCGCTCCTGAAATAAAACGGTTAAAAAGCTAATAATAGATGTATGTATATGTTTTTAGGATTTCGTACATCGATGGCAAAAACAAAAACCTTTTATTTTTTGTTAGTGACGTAGAAGTGTAGGTTATGCGCGAGTTTAAATTATATATATATATATATATATATATATATATATATATATATATATATATATATATATATAACACAAACAATAATTTGTATATATATATATATATATATATATATATATATATATATAACACAGTTCTTTTTTGTTGGGATTAACAGACAACACCATCTAGTTCCATGGTAAGCTACGACGCTTGTGTTATGGATACCAGATAGTTGATACACAACACATATATAACTTTAAATACATACATGTTATAAATATAGCCATCCATGACTGGAGTGAAGGAGAGGAAACAAAAAAAATGAATGCCCTCCAGCGGGACTGGAACCCGCGTCCGCTGGCACAGCAAGTAGGTTCACTACAAACTGAGCCATACGTGTCGTCAGAGTTAGTTACAATCAATATGTAATTTATGTAAGTATGAGTTCGTATGTACGTATATCCGGATGTCTATCACTATGCCATTGTACCACACTGTAGCTGCGAAGTTAATGATGAACTAAAACTTACTTTTTTTTTACGAAAACCTCACACTGATTATGAAATCACTTTAAAAGTAATTATTATATTTTACAAAGACGATTTATTTTTAAACATATATCAAAATTTTAATTGTTTATTAAGAGAGAATTATTTAAAAAAAACGTAATGTATTTAAGCATATTCGCGTTCTTTCTGTCATGAATTAGGTAAAATGGTGCTTGTTCTCAACTTTCCGTTAGTATTGAGATCTTGTGTTTGTTAGTGGATAATGGATATAAAATATGTATATTTCTTACCTAATTTTATTTCTTTAATTTCTCAACAGTATCACGGCGATGGATTCCCCTCCTGAAATTGATTATAGTACAATGTTAGCATAACTCATAAATAATAGTTTCTTAGATTTATGCGAATATTTAACATTTTAAATGGAACTTATCTTTTAAATAATACGGTCTTTTAGGATTTTTATTGGATCACGAGAGAGACTCTACCGTGACCATGATTGCTGTAAAGCATTCGAAACGTCGGGAAATAAATATCAAAATAAATCCACGAAAACATCCAAAGAGATAGTTTTATTTAAAACTAGCGGAACCCGCGGCTTCGCTCGCGCTAAAACTACAAAGTTCTTTAAAAAGGTAGTTTTATATAAACTTTCATCCCCTATTTAATTCCCTTACAGGATAAATTTCGAAAAATGCTAAAAAAAGCGTTAAAATTACTTGAAACTTGGTATTAACCAAGTTTCAAGTAATTATGATTATAAATATTTTTTTGGTTGGTATTATAACGTGTTTTCCCGTGGGAATTAGATAATATTCCGCAGTAAAAAGTCTATGTTAACTCTCCAGCTCTCTTACTATCTCCACACAAAAAATCACACCAATCTGTCACTCCGTTTTGACGTGAAATAAGGACAAACAAACAAATACACTTTCACATTTATAATATTAGTATGGATGTCAAATATTCGCGTAAATCTAAGAAAGTATTATGAAATCTATCTTTACGGATTTTGTGGCGATTTTATTTTGAGATTTTGTTTTCAACGTTGTATATGCTTTACAATTTACAGCAAACGTGCCCACGAGTGTCTTTTAAAAAGAAAGTTTCTTAAACTATCATAGATTTAGGCGGATATTTGACATTTTAAAATGAAACTATTTTTTTGGATTTTGTCGTTGTTTTATTGTATGTTTTGATTCCCGACATTTCGAATGATTTAGCTTTGTTTCGATTGCTACAAAATTCGAAAATATAATAAGAAGATTTATTCAAAATTATGAAAACGTGTAAAAACAAATTATTGTTTGTGTAAAAACAATATTTAATAAGTGAAAGAAATATTTATATTAGAAGTCTGCTATGTCCCAGAAAAACTTCTTACATTTCTACTGCACAAATTTTAACTTATTTATTTTGATGTGGTAAACAGCCTTTATTATTTCTTTAAGTAAAGACGGATGAAATCACAAGTACTTTTTAGTTGTTTATGATTTCACTCAAAATGAAAACATTTTAAATTAAAACAAAAGCATTACTATATATATATATATATAGATTGATAAATTATTATATTATTATTATCTATATAGATAGATAAATTATGCAAATACTTTAACAAATAAAACAAATAATTTTAAATTAAAAATAAGTTAAAACAAAAGAAAATAGAATTCTATAGTAATAAAGCTACGCGACACAGTGCATAGAGTTACTAGGCAAAATAAAAAATCTGTCAAGTGTGAGTCGAATTCGCACACGAAGGGTTCCGTACCATCATACACATATTTTTTATTAATATGACTTTTACTCTATGTATGTAGTATATTAACTTCGATGATCGATTACGAACGTTAAAAATATCTAATCTCTTTGCTTACGAAAACCGAAAAAGATCAAAATTGAGAAAATAAACCTCAACTTCTAATTACTGTCTGTTTGTATCCGCTAATCCCAGAACACCCAAATCGATTTTATAAAAAAAACAGCGAAAGAAAAGCTTCCGCGAAATAAAATACAGTTAGAAGGACAGCTTAAAGCTCAAGTCAAAGCAACATCAGCTTTTTTATCGTTATTACCTACATGTGAGCAGAACTTCGTACAAAAGCCATTTTTAAATAAAATTATAAATCAGTGAAGAAAAAAAAGTATGTTCAGATCTCGTAAACTTAAAATGATATAACTGATTTCAGTCTTCAGTATTTTAATGATTGGTAAAATAGTTTTCAAACTAAAATAGCAACGCTAATTATTATTATTATCAATATGATCTGTTATCATATTATCGTTTGACTTCACTAAGAAAATTCCACGCGCTCTATATTAAGGAGAAATTATAGCATCTCAGCAACCTATATTGAATGCGAAAATGTGATATTATAGTCTAATACAATTATAATATTTCTCGCAATGTAGCTGGACACCAACGGTTTTCAAAGCACATAAAAATTCCGCACAGTAATACGAACACTATCGCAGTCACCTGACACCGCTTATCGCAATTATGAGAACTCACACCCGGTCTGCCTTAATGCCACCCTTGATAACGTTATGACTTATGACTTAATTCAAACATCCGCTACTGACTTTTGATTTTTGTTCTGTGTTTTAGGATTTGACTGTTTAATTTTCTAGGTACTAACATAAATTGCCGTGTTTAGGATGTCGTTAAATTTTAGCTTTTTCTTTTGAACTTAATATAAATAAACACGTACGTCGTACGTATGTGTAAAATGGTCTTTCTTCGGTTTTTTTCCGGTTTATTATGTATTATATGTTTGGTTTTTTGGAGTGGTATCTCTCAGATCATGTTTGCTATAAAACATTCGAAATGTCAGAATCCAAATCAAAAAAATTACCCGCGAAAAAATCCGAAAAAAATGGTTAAGGCGCTCTTTTCCAGAATCGCCGCTCCCTAGGCGCCAGCGCGCGACGACCCGTTTCATTTTATCTGTTTTTCGCCTATTGCCATAAATATAAGTTAATAAATTAAAATCTGTTTCTCCGAATACCTAAATAATGACAAGCTAAATCTATGAGTATAACTTTCATATCATATAATAATGTATTTTGTGTGTATCAGAGATTTTAAGGTATTTTTAGACCTATCTTTGAATTTTTTTTCTATCGAGTGAACTATTGCTAATCGTGTTTTGGCCTCTCCGGGTACTTAGCTATTATCCTTAATATAACATGTATGAATTTTAGAACTATATGTATTATATTCGTGGTTTTATAATGGTTCAAAATATCCTAAATTCTAGAAAAGAGCGCCTTAAATAAATTATTACATATAAGGGCACTTTATTAGTTATTTTTAGCTATCAGATGCTGAATTTTTTTTCGCTTTTTAAGTTTAAAGCAACGGTGTTTAAGCTTTTGGTATCGTTTCGCTTAAGACGTGCAGAGCGCATAATAATATTTTAAAAGATATAGGGTAGAGTTGTAGAGGTGAATTGTAAATGAAGTTCGATACGATGTATGTACGTAAGCACGATGGTCATAAACCATTTTTGAAATGATAATTATTTTTTTAAATATATGTATTATATTTATAATATATATTTACATAGTATGTATTTAAAGAGGTAAGATAAAATGAAGATATATGTGTAGTTTATCAACTATCTGGTATCCATAACACAAGCCTCGTAGTTTACCATGGAACTAGGTGGTGCTGTGTGTTAATGTTCCAACATATTTATTTATTTAATATATATAAAAAATAGGGTTTTATAAATAAAATACATTCAATAATAAATAAAATTTAAATCAATGAAATAATCTTCTG